GGCTGTATTTGGGCTGTGTTTGGGCCTGGTTTGGGCTGTATTTGGGCCCTGTTTGGGCTGTATTTGGGCCGTGTTTGGGGTGCACAGCCCATCCCAAGCCATGAACACTCTGCCCCATACCCAACCCCTCCACCCCATCCCGTGGGGGCTCCGCAGGGTCCCTGACCCCGTTTTCCCCCAGGACACGCAGAAGGCGAAGCAGTTCCTGCCGTTCCTGCAGCGCGCCGGCCGCTCCGAGGCCGTGGTGGAGTACGTGTTCAGCGGCTCCCGCCTGAAACTCTTCCTGCCCAAGGAGACCTGCCTCATCACCTTCCTGCTGGCAGGTGAGATGGGGTGGAGATGGGGGGTTCCTGGGATTGGCATTGTGGGGTCCCCAGGATTGGCACCACGGGATTGGCACCGTGGGATTGGCACCGTGGGATTGGCACCATGGAATCCCCAGGATTGGCACTGTGGAGTCCCCAGGATTGGCACCATGGGGTCCCCGGGATTGGCACCATGGGATTGGCACTGTGGGATTGGCACCGTGGGATTCCTGGGATTGGCACCACGGGATTGGCACTGTGGGATTGGCACTGTGGGATTGGCACCGTGGGATTCCTGAGATTGGCACCACAGGATTCCTGGGATCAGCACTGTGGGGTCCCCAGGATTGGCACTGTGGGGTCCCCAGGATCAGCATTGGGGGTTCCTGGGATTGGCACTGCAGGATTGGCACTGTGGAGTCTCTGGGATTGGCACTGTGGGGTCCCCAGGATTGGCACCACAGGTTCACGGGGTTCCCGGGATTGGCACTGTGGGGTTCCCAGGATCAGCAAAGGGGGTTCCTGGGATTGGCACCATGGGATCCCCGGGATTGGCACCATGGGATTGGCACTGCAGAGTTCATGGGATTGGCACCACGGGGTCATGGGGTTCACGGGATTGGCACTGTGGAGTCTCTGGGATTGGCACTATGGGGTCCCCGGGATCAGCATTGGGGGTTTCTGGGATTGGCACTGCAGGATTGGCACCGTGGGGTTGGCACCGTCGGATTCCTGGGATTGGCACTATGGGATCCTCGGGACTGGCACTATAGGGTTCCCAGGATCAGCATTGGGGGTTCCTGGGATTGGCACCTTGGAGTCCCCAGGATTGGCACCACGGGGTTCCTGGGATCAGCACTGTGGGGTTCTCGGGATTGGCACCGTGGGGTTCTTGGGATTGGCATTGTGGAGTCTCTGGGATTGGCACCGTAGGGTTCTCAGGATCAGCACCACGGGGTTCCTGGGATTGGTGCCCTGGAGTCTCCAGGATCAGCATTGTGGGGTTCCTGGGATCGGCACTGCAGAGTCCTGGGATTGGCACTGTGGAGTCTCTGGGATTGGCACCGTGGGATTCTCAGGATCAGCACCACGGGGTCTTTGGGATCGGCATCACGGGGTTCCTGGGATCAGCATCACGGGATTGGCACCATAGGGTTCCTGGGGTTGGCATTGTGAGGTTCTCAAGATTGGCACCACGGGGTTCCTTGGATCAGCACTGCAGAGTCCTGGGATCGGCACCATGGGGTTCTTGGGATTGGCACCGTGGAGTATCTGGGGTTGGCACTGTGGGGTTCTCAGGATCAGCAGCATGGGGTTCCTGGGACTGGTGTCCTGGAGTCTCCAGGATCAGCATTGGGGGTTCCTGGGATCAGCACTGTGGGGTTCCTGGGATCGGTATCACGGGATTGGCACCATAGGGTTCCTGGGGTTGGCATTGTGAGGTTCTCAAGATTGGCACCACAGGGTCCCCAAGATCGGTGCCATGGGGTCTCTGGGATCAGAGCTGGAACATTCCCTGGATGGGGGAGGCCTCGGGTGAAGGGTCCCAGTTAATGCTGGAGCTGCCCCTGGGTGAGGTTGGGATTGGAAAGGATGGTCCCACCCAAAAAACTTGAAAATTCCCTGCTCCATGGAATTCCCTGCTCCATGGGGATCTCTATTCCCTGGAATTC